TATAATTTATTAATTTATCAAACTTAATATTTTTTTCAATCCATTTCCCAAATTTTATTATCAACCCTTTAACTTTGATAAGTTATTGAACAGTTCAATCCATTAATAAAATAATAAACATTTATTCTCATTTAAATATTCTCCACTTTAAATAAAATTTTTTATTCTTGGAGAAGTTTGAGAATAGTTGATGCCATTATCCTTATTTTTTCCATCTTCTAAGTATAATCTTATTATATTTGATTTAATTTTCATCTTCTAAATGATCCTCCTATACCAACTAAAACTTCAACCTACCAAAATGCTTTCCTCGTTCCAATTTTTTATTAATTATTTTCATATTAATTTATCCATTTAATTGTTTTATATGTTCTATAGAAAGCATCTCAAATTATTAGAGATTTATTGATCTCTTATCTGCTTGCTTATTTTCATATTATATATATAAACTATTACATCCTCATTATTGATCCACTATCAGATATATAATATATTACGTTATTCTTAGGTTTAGTGTCAAAGAATTTAGTCCTCATAAATCTATTTTAAATAGTATTCCAATGTAAACATTCCTATTCTAATATCCTTTCAATTATTAAATCAGGTTAATTTTTTCTCGGACAATCTATGCAAGAATTACTGAAAATATTTCCCATTTTTTTAATAATATAAATAAGATCGAATCTTAAAAATAGAGAATATTATTAGCAATTTTTTAATTTACAAGGGATTGTTGGAAAAAGACAAATTTTGGAATTTGATTCCAAATATTTATTTAAAAGCAAAAAGTGTGTATTTTAATATATTTATATGAAGAAAACCTAAGCCATCAAAATGTTATTGAAGTTTAAATAAAATTTTTATAAGTTTTTTATAAATTATTTTTAATACGTAATAAATTTGTGGATTAATTTATTTCTCAGTTTATTTCTTGTTCATTCTCAAACTTTTAAATATGATCTGAGTAGCTCATATTACAAAAAAAAATAAAGTGAAATCAAAAGTGAATTTCAAATTTTTTGTTTTCACTTTTCACTTTTCTAATTTATCAAATAATAATTTATGATATAATTTCTTCTCACGGTCATTAGTGCAACCATATCGATCATTAGTTCTAAATGGGATTTTATAAACAAATATATTCATATCTTCTATTTATCGAATAAAATAGAGAGCACAATTACAATATAGAAGATTCTAGAATATAAGCAAAAGTACTTAAACTAATATTTCTAAATTAAATTGGCAAACCATTATTTTATTGATCTATCATATGTTATCATAGTATTATATATATAAATAAAGGTCTTTTAACAATTATTTTATACTTTAAATTTTATATTCTGAGTTAATTACATCATCAATTTTTTACTTATTTCTTTGGTTTATAAAATGATACTCTATGATATTTAGTGAATAATAAAACTAAAATCTATCCTAACATTACCAAAATCAAGTTAGAATGATAACTATATCTATCTATTGTTTCTTACTTATAGGAATAATTAAAAACGAAAAACCATGTCTAAGTCCATGTCAAACATGCAATGGAGGAAGTGGAACTTGTAAGACTTGCAAAACTGGATTTATTTTGAATGATAATAGTTGTATTTGCTAACCAGGATATTATACAATTGATTAAATTACATGTATTGAATGTCTTAAACCATGTGCAACTTGTTTACCAAATGGTGGAGGATGTTCCACTTGTTTAGATACATCAAACTAAATCGCTCCTAGTTGTTCATGCAAAGAAGGATATATCATGAACACTTCAACACATTATTGTTAAAATTGTCCAAACAATTGTAAAATCTGTAGTTCAACATCAGTATGTACTTAATGCCACAATAATTATTGGAATAATGGGGGTATATGTAGTCAATGTCTAAAACCCTGTATAAATTGTTCAAGTAATAGTAATTGTATTACTTGTATTGATACTTAACACTAAACACCACCTCAATGTAAATGTGCAGAAGGTTATGTGATGAATACAGTAAGCTACATTTGTGATTTATGCTAATTCCCATGTAATACATGTTAAACTACAGTAAATCATTGTTTAACATGTGCTTCTACCTATACAATTAATTCTACTGATCATAAATGTTCCTGTTTAAATAATGAATTTGAATCAAATAGTAACCCTAAAACATGCTAAAGTTGTACTAGTCCATGTTAGACTTGTTCTACATCAGCTACTAATTGTACATCTTGTGTTAATGGATTAAATAGAAAATTAGAGAATACTTAATGTATATGTGAAGATGGTTATTATGAAAATATTACATGTGTACCATGTTAATTACCATGTATAAACTGTCTTTCAGAACTTGTATGTACATCATGCAAGGATCCAATTCATCAATCAGGACCCTAATGTGTATGTCCTACAAAATATTATATGAATACATCTTTTAATTGTGAAAGTTGCATATCTCCTTGCATAAATTGTATTTCAGAATTATAATGCATTTCATGTGAATAAAATTATTATATCACTGGTTACAATTGCATTAAATGTGAATTGCCATGTTATAATTGTGTTGATAATGCAACAAAATGCATTTCATGTGCATTTCCAAATTAAATAGTTTCAAATGATACATGTGTATGCAATGATGGATATTTTATGGATCCATTATTATTATCTTGCCAACCTTGCATTCATCCATGCAGTAAATGTTAAGATTATGGTAATTATTGTACTGATTGTGCAATAACATTTGTGATGAGTACTTCTATTCCAAATTCATGTGTATGTCCTAATTAAACTTATGAAGTATTAACTAGTATTCCAACAATTTGCCAATCATGTACATAACCATGTGATACATGTTCAGGAACAACAAATCATTGTTTAACATGTATTGATATTAATTAAAGCGTTGACACATCACACTAATGTTAATGTAATCCTGGCTATACTATGATTGCAGTAAATTGTATAGTATGTCTTAGTCCTTGTTTATAATGTTTAGGGAATTCAAGTCATTGTACTTAATGTAAAGATCCATTACATTAAATATCTAATGGAGAATGTATATGCCCTTCTGGATATTTGAATGATAATGATTATAATTGTATACCTTGTTAATCTCCTTGTTCTACTTGTTCAGTAAATGATACTCATTGTGATAGTTGCATAGATTCAAATCATGAAATTAATGATACATTTTAATGTATTTGTAAGGACACTTTTTATTCTGATACTCTTAATACTTGTTAACAATGTACATAGCCTTGTTTTTTATGTGATATTAATGGATGTTTAAGCTGTATAGATTCTAATTAAATAATTGATTCATTTTAAAGATGTGTTTGTAAATAAGGATATTATGAAGTTGGAGTTAATTGTTTTTAATGTGTTGTTCCATGTTAAACATGTGAAATTAATTAAGATCACTGTTTATCATGTGTAGATGTAAATTAAAATTTAATCAATAATAATTGTATATGTAATGATGGATATTTTGAAATTAATAATATATGTTAGCAATGTTAATATCCTTGTACAAAATGTGAATTTACAAATGATCATTGCCTTGAATGTTTAGATATAAATCATGATTTAATTAATAATAAATGTATATGTAAATTTGGATTTGGATCATCAGGAATTGATCTTTTATCTTGTTAACCTTGTGAGTATCCTTGTCTTGATTGTTCAACAAGTATAAGTACTTGTATATCTTGCACTGATAACAATATATATTATCTTGAAGATTATAAATGTTTATGCAAATAAGGTTATTTTTAGGTTTTAAATCAATGTATGAGTTGTTCACCTTAATGCTCTATTTGTGAAGAATAACCTGAAAAATGTTTGTCTTGTTCTGATCCAAATCACTATCTTGAATAAAATAACTGTATATGTAAATTAGGCTATTATTCAGATAACAATATGAAATGTTTTTAATGTTAACTTCCATGTGTTACATGTATTTCTAATTAAGATTATTGTACATCTTGTATTGATCAAGATAATCAATTTCTTAATGATGGGATATGTCAATGCAAGTAAGGATATTACATTAATAATTTTAAATGTGAATTATGCACTTAATTTTGTAAAAAATGTAATTCTAATGATGAATGCATTTAATGTTAAGATGGTTATATATTATAAAATGCTTTATGTACAATACCTAAATGTATTGATAATTATTTTATGAATGACTAAGGAGAATGTATTCAATGTATATAGAATTGCTAAATCTGTAACGACCCGACTAGTTGTCTTAGTTGTTTTGATTAGTTTTATTATGATAATTAATCATGTATTCCATGTTCTAATAAATGCTAAACATGCATAAATGATTCAAATTTTTGTACTTCTTGCAAAGACTTAAATCAATAATTAATTGATAATTAATGTATTTGCAAAGAAGGCTATTATGAAAATGACTAAGCATGTGAGTAATGTGATAATAAATGTAAAATATGTAATAATTTATTATTTTGTACTCTATGTAATTAATTAGAACACCTAGTTTTGTCCAACAATTAATGCGTTTGTGAAGATGGCTATTTTGAATTCAATAATAATTGTTAATTATGTAATAAAATATGTTAAACATGCTCTTAAACATCTGATAATTGCCTAAGTTGTAATCAATAATTAAATAGAAAAAAAGAGAAAAACACATGTATTTGTTAGAATGGCTATTTTGAAAATGAAAATTAAGATTGTTGGCCTTGTAATTCAGATGAAGGTAAAATTATTAAGGATTGCCAATATAAAAACTGCTCTGATAATATTTGGACATTTGGAGAAGATTGTGATGACGGAAATGATCTTCTTAGAGATGGTTGTTCTAATTGTTAAATTGATTAAAATTATACTTGCATTAATACTTTACTTAAGACTTCATTATGTTTTAAATGTACTGATAATTGCATTGAATGTCAAATGAATGAAGTAATAAATTAATTAGTGTGTATAAAATGCAATTATGGATTTTACATATAATAAAATTAATGTGTTAAATGTGCTGAATAATGTTTAGATTGTAAAACTAGTGCTTCTAATTGCCTAAGCTGTAGATATTAAAACAATAAATTAGATAAATGTTAATTATGTCAAAGTAATAGTGGTTATTATCCTGATTAATTTAATAATAAATGTTATACTAAATGTGGAGATTCATTAAAAACTTCAGAGGAAGAGTGTGATGATGGGAATCTATTACCAGGAGATGGATGTAATTAATTTTGTAAAATTGAGAAGAAATTCCTTTGTTAAAATGGAATATGTATCATTCCAGAATATCCTGTTCCACTATTATTCAGTTATGGAGATACTTCATTGTATAACAAAATTAGAAAATTTAAACTAGAATATAATGTACTTGTAAATGTTACTTAAGATAGTATGATAGAAAAATCAATAAAATTTTACATCAAAAATTAATTAACAATTAATCCAATAGATATTCCTTACTAAATATAAACATAATATTCATTAAATAATGATAATAATGTTAATTTTTCACTAATCATTGAAATCCTATTTAATCGAAGTACAAAAAATGAAAGACTTTTAATTAAATATTATAATGGCTCTCAAATTATTTCACATTAAGGATACTAATAAATAACAACTGAAATTGAGACTGTTATTCAGGAATATATTCAAATAGATTAATCAGAAATTGCTTAGGTTGGAACAGCTACATCTAGTAATTAGATATTATTGTATATAATGGCTGTTATGGCAGGGGGAGCAATATTATTTGGTGGCTTAGAAATCTTTTATAATCTATTAGATACCATCCAGATGTTATCTTACTTAAAATATATCAACACTTAGTATCCTTATAATCTGTAATAATTTTTTGAGTTTTTTGGTTTTGCTTAACTTAGTTTTATCTCTAAATATTTAAAACTATAATAATTAATTGATCCGTATATTGCTTATGAAAAACTAAAACCAATACCAGAGAAAATATAATAGGATGATATGAATTCCTTATATATCATTAATGGATCATCTATAGTAATTGTTTGGCTTTCTCTTTTGGGAATTTATATTTTATCTAATATTGTTCCAATAATATTATCTAGGATTAGATTGAAATATTACAATGAGATACCAGGAAAATTAAATTTTGAACTGAAATGCAAATTTTGGTTTCTAGCTCTGAAAATTTATATTTTGGAATTGTGCTGTATGATAGTATAGGAATTCTTTTACAGTGGTATAATAAGAACTTTTATTGCAACTGCGTATGATTATTCATTTTCAATGACCCTTTAACTATCAGCTTTAGAATTAGATTCTTAAGATAATCTAGTTAAATTGAGTTCTTATTTAGCATTATTTGCTTTAGGAATATATTTATTTACTATATACTTAGTTACAATGAAATGTGGTGATCCTAATATTTTATTAGAGAGAAATTAAAATAAATTTAAGTATATGTCTCTTTTTGAAGGAATTAAAAATAAAATGTATAGTAAATATTATAATGCAATAAGTCTCATCTAAAAATTATCTTTCATTCTTATTTTAATATTTGGTTATCAAACACCCTTTTATCAGACAATTAATTTATTAATTTTGTCTATTTTATAAATTATATATTTATTTGTTTTTAAACCACTAGATGACTATAAAGAGTTCATTAAACAATTTACTTGTGAGATTAACAAAGCCATTGCAATATTATTTATCTTAGGGTTAGTTTTTGATTAAGAATCAAAAACTTTAAGCGATGACTTGCGATCAATTATTGGATGGATTTGCATTGGCAATATAAGTTTTATTTTAGTAATATAAATAATAATTGACGCTATTCAACAATGGATGCTTTTAATTAAAAAGTATAAAAAACTGAGGAGATATGCACAGAAATTTTATAATTTTTTTGTACCACCTCCACCAAATTAGGTTGACCATCGAATCTTTACAATAGGAGATTTTGAAAATACATGAAAATTTCTACATCATATATTAGAATTATAATTATTACATATATTAAATATCTTAATATCCATGAATTCTACCTTTTATATATAATTCAAATATTTATATTAGATTTTTATAAAGTAAATTTTTAATGATAATTTTGATAAAAGTATTGATTAAGTGAGCATTTATTTATAGAAAATTTATAATTCTATAAAATAATTTATTAAAATTTTATTAGTAAAATTAATTTAATTAAATTAAGATTTTTTAATTTTTTAGTGATTTTATTACTAACCAAATAAAAACTGGAATTGCTGAATTTAAATGGCTTAAGTATTGATTGAGGAATCTAATTTGTTTATGAAGATAAATTAAAATGGATGAATTAAAATATTTATTAATATTAATTTTAATCTTTTTATTTTGACAATATTTTTAAATCAATTGCATATATTCTTAACTCAATTTTGCATAGTAACTTTATTTTATTTGTCAATTAAGTGAGCTAAAAGAAGGCTTTAATTTTTTATATAGTATCGAGTCATATGAAAATGTATTGATTTAAAAAAGTTTTACTGAAGTAAATTGTTATGATTTCTTAAATAGCTAAACATCATTAAAAAAATCTAATTAGGACTTACTTTTCAGTTAGCATAAGAAATGAAGCAAAATAAATTAATAGGTAAATAATTACAATGTTTGTAGAATAACATTAAAGAATAATTTGCAATATTCAAATTTTGAGAGTAATTTGAGTATAAATGTAAAGAAAAATGATATAATTAGACTAACATATATTATTCAAAAAGATTACTCATATATTTTAATATATTTCAATCTCACTATTAAATTTCTTATCTGTGATGCAATCTAAATTTTTTATTTTAATTTAACTTAACTAAGAGAATGGTTCGAAATAATTTGCTTATATAAGTAAAATTATAATACTAGAATGAAATAGGAAAAAGTACTGATTCTAATATTACTTATTCTCTCCAGCTCGAATTCCATAATTGTTTATTAAAATTTCAATAGTATTTCATCAATAAATGGTACAAGTAATATTTACTTGTAGATTGGGGTTTAGAAACATATTCGTGTTCATGCGATTGTTTAGCTACTTTATCAATGTGCAATACCTAATAAATACTTAAAATAAATCAATGCAATTTTAATGACTATAGTTTATTGATTTTTAAAACTTTTGAGTTAAATCCCCATAATGCAATAAGTCTTTTATTTTAGTTTTGGAGGTATTTATAATTCCATATTTTAGAATTGATGATTGGTATAATTATTAATTTTATGTTTATGCTGATTACTAAATTATTCACTAAGCTAGTTATTCTCATAGTTCAAGTTAAAAAAATTTATGCGAGGATAATGCTGTAAAAGACGAGACTTTCTTAATATCTAAAACATTAGAGCATTCAAGTCCAACTGTTACAATAATGATTGTTGCTTAACGTGGAGTTTGGGGAATTTCAAATTTTGAGTTATCTATTGAGTAATGCCCTACAGGATGCAATTTTTGTTACAATGAAAAATGTTATGATTACTAGTTAATTATTGAATAGTTTGTTATGAGAACAATTTCTACTGTAAGTAATTCAGAGGGTTGGTCATATAATAATTTAGTTTCAACATCTGCATCTTTTTGTATAGGTAATATTATCAATAAAGTAGATTATTTCTTTACTTATGTTTCTGGAACTTATTTAGAAAAAGTAATTTAATTGGATAATCACTCAACTATAAGCTTTTAATTAAAAGTTATCATTAGAAATCCGAATCCAACAGAAATTAAAGTAAAAATTGATGACAATCTTGTATATACAACTCAGTATAATGAAGGATGGACATAATATCCTTTTGGGTTATGTTAATATATATCATTAAATTCTATTATAATAATGGATTATATTCATTCAAGTTCATCAATAAAGATTACTGTTGAAGGTAATAGTTTTGTATAATTGATTGGAATTAGAGATTTTCAATTATATATAAATAAAAAAAGTAATAATAAGATATGTATGGATAACAACATAAATGCTTTTGATGGTTGTTTTGCCTTTGAATATGATTGTGTTGAAGGTTGTAAAAATTGTTTATAAGGTATTTGTTTTGATTGCCAGATTGGATGGGAATTTAGAATAATATAATTAGATTGTGTTCCTATTTGTGGAGATTAGATAATCACTCATTTAGAAGAATGTGATGACGGTAATACTATTCCTTATGATGGTTGTCATTAATGTACTTATTCATGTCCATTAAATTGCTTATAATGTAGATTTGGATATTGTTTATAATGTGATTCTTAATTTAGATTGTCTTTCAATAAAAAATAATGTATATCTATTTGTAATAATGGTCTAATTACTCCATTTAAGTATTTCAATAATTATAATAATATTTAATAAGATGAATGTTATAATTATAATAACAGCTGTTAAATAGAATGTTAGCTTTGCAATTATAATTAATGTGTTCTTTGTTTAGAAGGTTGGATATTAATGGATAACAAATGTTATTAGTAATGTGGAGATGGAAAGGTAGCTTTATCATCAATAGAATAATGTGATGATGATAATCAAATAGAAAATGATGGATGTTTTCAATGTTAATATTAATGTATTCCTAATTGTTTTTATTGTATTGATAATAATAATTGTTTTATTTGCAATGATTATTTTAACTTGAAGATAATTTATGTAAACCTATATGTGGAGATGGTATAGTTATTAATGGATTTGAAGATTGTGATGATGAAAATAATGATCCATTAGATGGATGTCATTAATGTTAATTCTAATGTTCATATGGTTGTATTACTTGTAAAAAAGAAAATATATGTAGTTAATGTGATAATCTTAGTATTTTAGATAATACAACTATGCAATGCATACAACTATAATTAGAAGAATAAGAATTAAATTAAGAAATTATACTTTAAAGTAATATAAGTGATCTAAATCTTATACAATTATGTGGAGATGGAATAATCAATTCTTAAAATGAATAATGTGATGATGGGAATAATATTCCTTTTGATGGATGTTCTAATTAATGTTAAATAGAAAAAGAATGGAATTGTTAAAATAAACTAACACATAGTGAATGCTTTATTCTTACTTCTTTTACTTTAACATTATAAAATAATAAAAATTCAATCTAATATGTTTCATTATCTTTTACTAATAAAGTTCGTTTAAAAGAGTATACAACATCTTTTGTAGATAATATCAGATATTTTATTTAAAACATTCCTTCACAATAATACAGTATTAAAGTTAATGAAGTAATCTCAATAGATCAATTTAAATTACTTTATCCAATCTATGAATTTGAAATATAGTTTTATTAATCATAGGTTGATTAACCAATATTAAAAGTATCCATTAATGAAAATTTATTAGATTTAAATGATTTTTAATTAGATACCAAATCAAAAAGTATTAATTTATAAATTCCAAGAATTTTGACTGAGTATCAAATTGCAACAGCTATCAAACTATATACATGTTCATTCTGGATGACTATTGGATTAGGTTCAGGTAGTTTTATCCTTTTAATCCTTGGAGATATTGGATCTTTTACTGAAATATTTGATATTCTTTAATATCAATCATATTTGAAATACATAAATATAGATTTCCCTCATAATGTTGTAATTTACTTTGAATCATCTGAAATTGTAACTATAGAACCTGTTTTAAAAGCTTTAAAAATAACTCAATTTTTTGATAAATTAATTGGTGATAATCATATTAATAGTGTTAATAAACTTTATGAATATAATTTAAATGCAGATCTTTTAATTAATATTTATGGTTAAATTACTCAACTAATAATTTGTATAATAATCTATGTATTCCTTAATTATTTTAGTAAATATATTTAAAATAATTGTTTTACTCAATCATTATTATAAACCAAACAAACTTAAAACAATAAATAGATTGAATGGATAATAATTAAGAGTTATTTTCTGCTCAAAAAGTTGTCAAAAATTGGATCTTCTTTTTTGAATTCTAAAGGAATCTTATAAATATTTTATGCAAATAGTTGGGATTTGATTTTTAAAGTACTCAATTATTTAGTTTCAAATAAAAAAGAAGAAATAAGGATCATTATTTCAAATATAATAAGTATTATTTGTTTAATAATTGTGAGTGTAATATTAATCACATATTTTTAACGAAAGAACTTTATGATTACATTAAAAGATTTAAGATGTTAATAATTTGATGCTCTTATCTTATTGAAAAAACTTATCTTTCTGATAATCTTAATATGCATTTAAAATCAACCTATTTTTCAATGTGTTATGCTTACATCCTTAATACTTTGTTATATTGGTTTAATAAAATTAATTAAATTTACATCATCAACTGATATTAATTTTATCATTTGGTTTGAAGCTCCTGTAATGGCTTTTACTTTTATCAGTTTAGCTTATTGTCATGAATTTCAAAAATATTTAACTACAGATATCTATTTCATATTAGGTTTTATATAAATAGGCATTTTAATTTTTGGTTTATTAGGACCCTTAATAAAATTTGGAATATAATTTTATCATAATGCCAAAAAATTATTCCGAAAGAATAAACCCATAGAGTAAGTTTAGGAATTAAAAATTTTTACAAAAACATGAATTCAAATGTATTAATTAATTCAATGAAGTATTACTTATAATTAAATTAGAAATTAATAATTATCTTAATTAATTCATCATATTTTTGGATCATAATATTCTTATTTAAATTATAATTAAATTTTTATATCGAATAGTTAATTATTCATTATTTTTTAAATTAATATTCTGAATAAAACATAAAGTTAACATTATACGTTTTTTATTTTTATTATCAAATTTTTTGATTTTTTCTTTTTCACTAATTCCAATTATTAGTGATATATTAATTTTACATATAAATACTTTTTTTTAATTTGAATAGTCTATTATAACTTGATATATATATTCAAATTGGAAAACAATAATAGGTATTGATATGGAATGAGTAATTCTTACTAATGTTTAAATATAAGTTGTTATTTAAATAGAAAAACGAAAATGTATAAACAAAAATTATAATATATGTAGATTTATTAATCACATATCTACAACTGCAAATAAATTAGATTAGGTAACCAACTAAACTATCTCATTCTGTTTTCTTTTTGAAAGATAGGCTTTAATTTATTTATACATAATATAATTGAATCTAATTACAGGACCTAATAAGCTAATTAATAAAATTCCTATCTATCCAAAACCTAATAAAATTTATTAATCAAGACTCAAATGTTATTAAAAATCAGTACAATATAATATACTTGTAATAGTAAATAACATTACAGGAGCTTCCATCCAAATCACAATAAATAAATCAAATTTCTACTTTATGAGTTTAATTGTAAAAACTAATCCAATATAACTAAATGTTAATACAGCCATCATTAAACATTAAAAAGCACCAGCATTCTATAATACAATTAAAATTATTATAAATGATAGTTTTTTAAATAAGATAATACCTTCATGTTATTCATTTCTAACATAAGTTAAATTTATTTTCCCATTTTATTTCTAAAAGTGAGAACTGAGAAAAAAGATCACTAAAATTAAACTCCCTATACTAAAGAGATAAGATAATACAGTTCGATAATCATATTGATTATTAGATTTAAGAAATAAAATAACTTTAAAAAGTAAATCCCAACTATTTGCATAAAAAATTTATCTTAATCCTCCAAGATTAAAAAGATTCTTCAATCCTAATAATTTTTTTATCATTTAATAATATTTCAGTGCTAAAAATTCAATACATCTTGATTTACTTTTTCTTATACAATAAAAATATTTTGAAGTAAAACAATAATCAAGAAACATTTTCTAATATAACTTTGAGAACATCAATAAGAATACAATAACAGATAATTAAAGAATTTGACCTTTAATGTTAGTAAATAAATCAGCATTCACTTAATATTCTGATAATTTTCCATAGCTTTAAATATAATTGACACCAATGGTTTCATCAAAAAAACCAGAAATTTTAAAATTAATTAGTATAGGATTGATTGATACAAAATCTGATGATTCAAAATATATTTATAGATTTTAAGGATATTTGACATTTATAAATTTTAAATATGTTTAAAATAATAAAGTATCTAAAATTTCTAAACTTAAATCTATTCTTCCAAATAAAAGCATTATTATAGATATAATTCCTAATCCTAACATCAATTTATTTCCCAATTCTTAAAATGAATTAGCTGCTTATAATTATGAGCTATCTAAAACATTTGGTTTTTATAACAATAATTATTATTATTATTAATTAATTAATATATCATTTATATCAATAATTTAAGTATTAAAAGTAACAGTTAAATTTGGTTATGTTTACATTGGTTAAAATATTGTAATTTTTATATCAAACATAGCAGCTACAAATTGAACATCATCAAAATTAATTACAGGATAAATAGTTATATTATATTCATTTTATTCTAAATTATCTATTAGACAAATTAATGATTCTGTAATATCTTTAGAAGGTTCTTTCAATTTTACAAGATTCGAGAATGATAACTTAACATATTAATGTTAGTATGTTTAATTTAAATAAGAAATCAAGATATTAGTAATTTTATAACATTTACTGGGTTCTTCATCATTGCAAACCCAACCAATATCTATAATACAATCATTTGAACAACCATCATTATTTAAGTAATTCCAATCATCACATTATTCATCATTTGATATTAATCCATCACCACATTATTTTTATACTTTAATATATTCATCATCTATATTAGATTCGTCTTAATCATAATTTATAATTCTTTAACAACCTTATAATGTTAATTCAAATCCCTCTATACATTCTTAACATATGCCTTAATTACATTTTGTACAATTTATTTCACATTAATAAATGCATTAATAACAACCATCATACTGAATATCATTTAAATCTTCACAATCTTCAAGACCTTATACAATTATACCATCTCCACATATAGGAACACAATATGTATTATCAATCAATTTAAAGTATTAATTACAAATCATACAAATATTATAATCAGAGCAATAAAAACAGTTTTAATCACATTCATATTTACATTCATAACATCCATCATAAGGGTCATAATTTCCATCATCACACTATTCTTATGTATTGAATGCTTACATTCCATCTCCACATATTTAATAACAATAATTATTTATTAATGACCAACCATCAATACAATCATAACATTAACTTTAATTACATTATTTACATTCCAATTAACAACTTTATTAACATTTATAACAAAAATCAAACTGAAAATTATTTTAATCATCACAAATCTCATTTTTTACTATTACACCATCTCCACAAATTGGATTACATTCTTTATTATTTGATTATAAATAATAATATGATTGACATTCCAAACAAATATCAAATAGTTATATTTTACAATTGATAATTCTATCAATACTACATTAATTATAATAATAACCAAATATTCCATAAGATTATTGATTACAGTCTAATTATTATATTTATTAAAGAGATCTTTAATAATCATTTAATAATATATGCTAATAAAAGCCATTTTCTATAAAATTTGTAATTTAATTATTAAATTCTATTTATTATCTAAATTGAGGACCATCATAATAATTATAAATATAAATACACTTATTTTCAATCATTTTATATGATTATAGACATTCTAAACATTTTCCAAACTTACATATTTTACAGAACTTTTAACAAGAAAATTTACATAAATAACAACCATCATATGGAATTATATTTCCATCATCGCATTCTTCCAAATGAGTAATAATAGAATCACCACATATTGGCATACATATTCTTTGTTATTTTTAATATTCCCATCCTATTTTACATTTTATACAAACTCCTTTTACACAATTACTACATCCAACTACACAATCATAAATATTAGAGAAACAACCATCAAATGGAATATTATTTTAATCAGTGCATATATGAGAATTAGAAGTATAAGGATGAATAAAAAGTTCAAAATCACTAATTCCTAAAATTGATTAACAAGCTGAATATTAAGTAGGAACACAATAATATTTTGCTGACCATGTGGAAACAACTTAAATTTATATTGTAGATTTTGTATGTTAATATTCTAAAATTTAGACCTAACTTAATGTCATAACATCACAAAAGTCAGTTTATGTATATACTTATTTTGATAAATTAGAAGTTAATACAAGTACATTATCAATAAAAACCTGCACAGAATGAGGATCTGAATTAAAAGTCATTATTTTAAGTCTTAGACTTATATTATCATGATTAGTTAATGGTATAATTTTTGTTAAATCAGAACTTGGAGATTTCAAATAATTTTAGTCTAAAATTGACTTAGGTATATACCTAGACAAACTGCATATGTATTCATATTTTGATTACCATAAATCCAACCGTAAGTAGAATCAAAATTTATTGGATCCAGTTTTTTAATGTAAAGTTTTTATAAATAGCATTTACTTGCATCGCATATCTAACATCCTGTTGCACATTTATCTACCAGTAATTAAAATTCAGAAATGCCCCAGTAATTTTCTTAACCATTAATTAGTATTTGAGCAGTAGAACTATAATGAGTTAAAACTCTAGAAACAGTAGCTGTTCCATCCCCATAATTAGATCCTGGAGTACCACAAATACTTGGTAAACTGTATTCTGAAGAATATGATTGAACGTGTGCTTCTACATTATCAACATAAACTTTCAAATATTCTCCTCCCCAATTATCAAGACTTCAATCAATTATAAAATTGTACTGCCAAAATTTAAATTAGAACCTTAACTAATAATGAGGTGGTAAATTAAAAGTCTTGATTATATGAGTATTATATGAAAATTCAGGAGAGCCTCCAAATATTTTACTTGATCCACAATATGAAACTGGGCCTGAGTAAGTACCTTAGATAAACCAATCTGAATAATATGATTATTATAATACCATTTGAATATGAGAAATCTCCAAAAAAGTTTGAATATACCAATGTTTGTGATGATGCACTTCTTATTATTAGACTTAAAATAATCACTCTTAATAATTCTTAATTTAGATTAAGAGTGTCTTTCAAATTTATGAACATAATTTTCAAATATTGAAGTTTACTTCTGAAAAATAAATAATAGAAAAGATAATTTAGTGTTTAACATTTTAAATTAATAGAACATTCGAAAAATTTAATATACTAAAAATTCTCAAAAACTAAATACACACTAATACTCTCTATTTTCTATTTCCTATCATAATTAATAAATGCCCTTTTAAATTGTTCTCACATACATAAATTCAAATATAATTGTATTAATTAAAAATTATTTCTATGATAAATTCTTAATAGAATAAGACATTTCAATATATCTACTAAAAAATCATAGAAGATATTTGAAAAAAAACATATATATTTTAATAGTATTTTATTATTTCTAACTAAATTAAAAAAATAAAAAAGAATATCGTTATGAAAGTAGGTTGATATAGGAAAAAGAAATGTAAGAAAAAGTATAAAGTTGCAATTATTGAAAAGAAAAAGTGTAAAGCAAATTAATGAGAGATAAAATGGTTCATTTTATATATGTTGCTAACATAGTATGAATATTTTAGATCATAAATGGTAATTACCATTCACAATTAAATATATAGGTTTATATCTCATTTTTTATAATTGACCCTAATTTTTATGGGTAAATTATATAAAAGAATTACATAGTAAATAAGTTTATGATACAATTGTAGATAAAAGAATTGAGTAGATATAGAAAATATTTAGAATTCATAACTAATAAAAATTAAATAATTATTATACTAAATGTTATTATTCTCAGTATTTTTAAAAAAGTAGTATTCGTAATCTAGTGAGATTCTGATTCCTTTTTAATTACTTAAGTGAAAAATTTGGAATAAATTTGAAAATAATAAAAGATTAATACTATATTTAGTGAATGGGCTCTTATTAATTTTGTCTTCTATTTAATGATAACGAATGCTGTCATTTATAAGATCAATTATAAAAAACTCTAATTGATACCAATCAATACTTAATAAAAAGTATACAATTATTTTTATTTTCTAACAAATTAACAAAGATTTATGTGTACTTTCAGTGAATCAATGATATACTAATATCTAAATAAAATATTGTAAAAATCCTTTACAATTACATTTAGGAATCAAACTAATTCTTTTAAATAAGACAAAATAATACTATACAAGTAATTCATATTATATAGGGGAGTTAATTGAAAAAAACTTAAAATATATCATTATATGATTATTGTAAACTATTATTGTAGATTAGAAAATATACATTTAATATAAAAGATCTTACATCAAAATTAAATTGGATATTTTCCTGATTAAATAGAATAGAAATCTAATTTTAAGTATAAATCCGAATCTGAAAAATGTTAATTAGAAATAGTTTTAATTTTACAACATGAAAAATATCTTTCAATAATCAATATTAAAAATTGTTTATAATTTTTTATAAAAATATCAATTTTTAGAGGTCTAAAACCACTTTTATATTTATTTTTAATTTAAATTTTAATCATCATTAGTATTAAATAATTATAAAATTTGCTGTATTCTTATTAAATAAAGTTTCAAGGATATATAAAATACTAGTCACTGATCTATTTATATGAATAAATAAATATTAATGCTTTCTAACAAGTCTTGATTTAGATATATATAACTCAATTTACTTTAGTTAAGATGAATTAAAATAAATTTTAAGACTATGGCTTGGACGATAGCAAAAAAATGAAAAATAAATGGTTGATTAAATAAAGATTATGTTATTTTGTATAAAACTGAATAATTTCAAAAACAAAAATATTTAACATACTATATATTATATGCTCTAGAATTAATTAGTTATATTAATAATTGAATAAGTAGAATAGATTCTATTTTAATAATATAGCCTAACTTTTAAGGATCAAATTTTAGTATTTTTAAATATAATTACTGTTTATAAATCATTAATAAAAATTTAATATATACGATGTTCACCAAATGCGAAGGATTCTATCCAAGTTAGAGCCATAATTATTAGATGACGATAGATAACTTATATTATTCTAAAGCATACTATAAATTTATTAATTTTTGAATAAATAAAGAAAGGTTACTTTGAAGTTTAATTTATAATTCATTATTATTCAATTACTTAATTATGCATCAATATTATTTGAATAATCAATTAAAATTTTGATAATTAAAAATTTTTAAAATAACTTATGCAAGAAAAATAGAGTAGATTAATTAATTAAAGATTTAATATTAAATATATTAAAGAATATTAAGTATCTCCGAAATTTTGTTAAGCTATTCTTAAATTTAAATAAGTATCGTTTTGATTTTAACATTTCTTAAAACTAAATTCTTAGCTTTTATTTCGCATTAATGAACAATACCATACTCATTATAATTAACATAAAACAGCCCTCAAAAGGTAAATGTAATCTTTTACAAAAATATTTGTGGATTTATTTAACTAAACTAGAATGTCATCAAATATTTTTTCATTAAATATTTTTAAAATAGGCCATTATCAGGAAATAAAATTAAATTACAATAAGTCAGGACCAAATTAAAATAAAAGATCAAGTTTTGCCTCTTCATTTTTTTATTGAAAAGATGTTAATTAAATATAAAATATCGAAAACATACATCTTACCATACTTTGATCTCTACAATAAATATTACAATATAATGATACTAATAAAGAAATTACGCACCTCTAGCTTTAAACAATTATTAATTTTTGCAAAAAGCTTATCACTTGCTAAAAACAAGCTTTGAAATATTGGTTACCTAAAGTGTAAAATAACTAAACTAAAAATGCCAATAAGGAACAGAAAAATACAGTAAAGTGCAAATAATATATTAAATGTTACAATTAGCTTCAAATCATTAGGAAAGTTTCTATCTTAGAATATTCTACTTCTTTTTAAATACTAAAATAATTTCTGTTAGCGTCTTAACTGTCTCTAGTATTAAAAGCACATTCTAAGATATCATTCAAAATATATGAACTTTGATATGAGTATGGAAAAATTTCATAACAAGAAATGCAACAACAAGACTACTTAAACAAACTACCTCAATAGAACCAATATTGAATGATCTATAATGCGTGTTAATGATTAATAATAATAATATAATAACTTTTTAGAATTATAAAATTTTTGAAATCGATCCTCTACAGTTTTTAATAAAATTATAAATGGTATTCTAGTGATAAAACAATATATCATACTCTCTTTTTATATTTTATTATCTGTTAATTATATTTAAATATTAATATAGTTTCTAGATCAATTTTAATTATTATAATATTTGACGTATGTATATTGAAATTATAATTATATGTTTACCTTTAACGTTATAAATAAAATTTTAATTTTTAATGACAAATAGACTTTATATTACAGCGCTACTGACTCTGAAATTTTTATGGATACCTAAATAATGGTTATTCTTTATCTTATTAAATGTAATACCTATGAATAAGGAAATCCCCGAAGTAATAAATTGTATGTTCTAGCTAATAATAATCAATAATATGATTAATGGAACATTCAAAATCTAATTAATTTATCTAATTATGATGATAATCAAATAAATTTATATAAAATGATGCCATAACTAGGAAGTTTTAGTGAAACAAGATCATCAATCCAAACATATGATTTATTTCCATTCTTGTTTTCAAACTTTTTTTACGATAATTAAATAAGACGTAATTTCTTGGATAATAATTAATCAAGTAATAATCTTATATTGAATAACAATTTATTTATATTAAATTTTATACAAATTCTTGAATATCATTTAACTTTTATTCTTATAATAGCTTTTTTTAATTAATTGAATAAATAATTTCATTAAATTAATTTCTTTATATAAAAAATATACATAAATTATAATTGAGATTTCAATTAAATTTGATCATATAAATATTTAATAAGTACTTGTTGAATATGAGGTAGTGCATATTATCTTTAAATATTTAGTTTGTATATATTAGATATTAATAATTTGGCGATAATTCTTTAAATTATACAAAGTTTATATAAATTAATATTGATGAATTATTATATAATGTAATGAAAATATTAAATTTCCTATTAATTATTTACAATTATAATATACATTTATAAACTTTGAAATAATATAGAATAATTATAAAATAATGATTTAAAATAATTGGTGTTAAGGAGAAATATATAATATTTCAGGAAGACAAGGGTTTTATAGCTATTACTGGTTGTTTGAAAAAACAACTTTTTAAATCAAATTTACAAATGATTCAGAAATCATCTACTCTCAATTTGGAAATATATTAAGAACGTAATGATAATAATATTGACAAGAGAAGATAAAAAGAACAAAACTATTATAATGACAAATTTGGAATAAATTAAGCATCTTAAATGGGAAGGGGAATATGGAATTAATAATGTGTAGACTGGTAAATGGATTGCATTTTGGAAAGGAAAATAATTAGATGTAGGAGGAGAGTATAATGAGAATGGATTGAAAATAGGAAAGTGGATTGAATTATTTGAAAATTATTGGGAGTAATAATTATCAATTTAAATAGATATTCACCAGTTACATATATTGGAGAATATTAAGATGGAAATAAATAAGGAATATGGGATACATTTTATGAAAAATAGAAAATGTAATAATTAATAAATTGAAATTGTTTAGAGGAGGAGGTAGTTATTAAAATGGTAATAAAATTGGTAACTGGATTGATTTATATGAAAATTATTATTGGTTATAATATTATATATATTATTAGCTCATGTAAAGTTACTTATACAGGAGAATATTAGAACAATAATAAAATTGGTAGATGGGATACTATATATTAAAATAGAATTATGTATAAATCTTTATGAATATAACTATTAATTATAGTGGAAGTACTAATTATAATTAAAATGGAGTGAAAAATGGAAAAGGAATTGAATTGAATGAGAATTTCTATTAGTATTATAAATTTCAAGATTTTAAAGTTGTTGTTAAGTTGTATACATAGGAGAATATAAAAACAATATAAAGATAGGTAGATGGGATACAATTTATTTAGAAAATAATATAATTATGTAATAATTCTTAATTATTTATTTATAGTGGAGGAGGCAATTACGATAATAATGGTTTGAAAGAAGGCGAATGGGTAGATTTGCATGAAGGATATAATATGTAATTAATATGAATAACGAATTAGATATTATAAATAAATTTAATCAGGAACATATAAGAATGGTATTAGACAAGGTACATTTATAGAATCATTTTTAACTTGATTTTATTTTATTTTATAAGCAACTATCTTATGTTTTTATTGTTAGATCATTATTTTTCTTATTTTTATTCTATTCCTCAAATAGTACTTGATGAATTTAATTGTAATTCTAAAGATTCATGGAGTTCATTTATTAAAGAAATTCCTTAAATTATTAATCTAATAGAAAAAATTTATTTTCTTTTTCATTTAAAACAATAGATTAATATAGAAAATGATTTGAATTTCTAGTGAATAATATATATTTTAAGAAATTAATGTGAATAATTATTTGCTTAATAATTAAATATGTATATATCAATATATCTACGATTTATTATTCCATTAATTTTTATCTACTTAGACTTAAGCGAATAGGTTGTTTTTCAAATCTTAGAATCTCTTTGCAAAATGAGAATTTATGTTGAGAGCTGTTGTAGAATTCATTAATTAAGAAATTTGACCTTTAAGATTTCCAACAGCCTTTTATCTTGGGACATTTAATACAAGAGGTCTACCTTTGAGATTTCTGTTCTACATCATTTTATCTAATTCATTGGTAATTTGAAAGTGAAAAGAGGAGCCTATAGTAATATATGATAATTAAATGAGGTATCTATTTGCTTTAAGACCTTTAAGTTGCTTATGTAATTTAACATAATCATTCTAACCATCAGTCACCAAACAAATACAGATTTTTTTTGTGTTCAACTTATAGTTTTTTTCTTCAAATTCCCTAAAAATATCAACCAAATTAACATATTATTATTGATTATCAAATAATGAAAATTGGGCATTTTACCATTTTAATTTAATAGTTTAAATTTAAGAGAATTCAGTGTTGAAATTTTCAATGGCTGAATCTATTTCATTTCTCATAGACTCATTATTATCAAAAATGATGACAACTACTTTTTCTCTGTCATCATTTTATGGTCTAATTTATGATTTAAGTGATTCAGGGAGATAATCAAATTCATCATTATGATCGGTGATAGCCATAGATTATTATATGCCAATACCTGCATGAGCTAATACATCATCAATAATTTTAATAGCATCTTTAGAATTCAAGGCTTTCTTAATTAATTTAACTTAATCAATTTCCTTCATCATTAGATTGAGCTCCTTTAATAAATCATATGATTCTTCATCAACTTTTGCTAATTATACTCGTTCAAACACTGAATCAAGCTCAATAAGAGTAGATTTATAGTATTCATTAAGTATTTAACGAACATCTTACTAATTTTAGTTTTGTGAAAATAAAGATTTGTATTTCTTTAATCCATTAATGATAATTTCCTTAGCCATTGTGATTTATGCTGATTCATAAGTTTATTATAATTATTGAACCTATTTCATTTTAACTTGAGCCCTTGCAAAGCATCCTACATTCTTTAATTTTTTCTTTTAGGCTAAATTAATATTTTCAGGCTATAAATTTTGAGCATCATCCTTTACAGATAGTTATTATGATATAATTTTAATACTATCAATAGCATCAGGATTTGGATTTGATAATTAAGCTTACAATCCTGTTAAAGTTTATGGAGTACATTAATCAATATCAACATCTCCTTCTGCAAATTAATTAACAATTACTAAAGCATTATTAAATTGAATTTCAAGTTTTTATTCTTGTTCTGTCAATTATTAAATTTCATTATTTTAATTCACATCTTTTAATATTTCATCAGAAAAATCCTTTACTATTTAAAATTTTTCTAATATTTTTTCTTCAACTATTTTATCAGGATCACTAGCAAACATGATTAATGCTTATTAAGCAGAATCAGAAACCATTTTTTTCTTATCAACTAAACTATTTGTAGCTGGAATTACTTAACCATTGGCAATAACTTCTCCTTCTGAAACAAATAATGTTCCAGCAGGTAAATGATGTTAAGGGTTAGAAACTAAAGTCAATTTTACTTCTGCATCTGTTTGAAATAAGTCTTATTATACTAAAGTTTAATCTCTAATTTTTTTAAAAGCAGAATCAAAGAAATTAAACATTTCTTCTTCTGTTCTTTCTGGATTTTTATTATGATGATATATTGGTTCAATAAAATCTGTGTTATGAAGTTATAATCTTAATTAATTCGAAATAGTATTTGGAAACCATTTACCTATTGAAATAGAAACAAATTAAATTAAAAAATTTTTTTCTTTTATTTTCTCTATTAATTCTTTAAGTTCTGGCAAATTGAATTTTTCATCGCCATCACTTATAAAGATTATTGTTACATGTTAAGGAAATTATTCAGTCAACAATTTATTCAAAATATATTTGAATGCTTTTGTAATATCACCTGATCCAGCAGCAACAAAAGGTTCAAAATCATGAACATCTTCTGTAAATTGAATTTTTAATTATTTATTTCCTAGATCATCAAAATTCTTTTTGTGTGCCTTCAAAATTTCATTATACTCAAAATTCATCGAACTTGTACCATCCAATAATGTTATAGGATATGATTAAACTTTAACAGATTATGGGGCTCTAGCAATTCTAATGTTCATTAAAATAATTATATATTTAAGCCTTTTACATTTAGATATTTATATATGTCATTAAATTCTATTAAATTATGATGAATTTAGAAGAAAATAATGATAATAATTATTTTTATTTATATTTTTAGATTAGGAATAATTGATACATTACAATCTATTATTAAACAAAAATAAATAAATTTAATTTATTTATATAAATAATATAATATAAATCAGCAATCTCTTTATTGTCTTATCTATAAATTCTTTGTTTTATCATCCCATGTTACTAAATATTCTCCATTTTCAGTCATTCTACCTATAACACGATTAGTTTAAAAGTCTATATGTTAGATTATTTCATAGTCATCATTTTCATTTAATCTAATCAAATTGATTGAACAACTTGATTTGTTTACAAGAATAGATTATGATTTAATATATTGTTAAGGGAAAAACCAAAAACAAGTTTTATTACTATTAATATTAGTGCCAGTATATATAGATATTTCTTTATTCTTAATAAAATTGGAATCATAGTCATTCTTTGAAAATATCTACAATTTTTTCTTTCTTTCAGGTTAAAAGACAAATTCTGAATTATTAATAAAACATAATCTTCTACCTCCATCTCTTGTTAAAATTGTCTAACATTATTTCCATAATTATTTTTAATCATCAAAAGAGAATATAAAAATCTATTTATCTTTTGAACAAGATATAAAATGATTCTCATTTTCATTTAAACTTATAGAACAAACATAATGATGATGTCCTGTTAGAGTTTGGGAACATATCCAAAATTCTTTGTCTTTTTTCCAAGATTTAATAGTAAAGTCATCACTACCTGATAATAATAAATCTTCAGATTTATTTAATACTAAACAACTTATACCTCCTAAATGTCCAGTCAATACTTATTTAGGATGCCATTAATTATCATCAAATTATTCCCATAAAATAATAGTTTTATCGCAGCTTCCAGAAAAGAATTCATTAGTTCTTTTCATAGTAATTAAACTGTAAACACTTTTTTTATGAATCTTTAATTTTTATAATTACTTTATCTAGCCTTTATTAAATTAATAAATGTTAATCTTTCTTGATTCATATCCAACTATCATTAAATTAGATTGACTTATAAATTCTATAGCATTAATTTAATCTTCTTCAAATGAATGAATTATTCTATATCCTGTTATTGATTCTTTTTTTACTTTTTTAATTGGATGATCAGAATAGAATAATTCATTGATATACATTTTTAAGGTTTAAACCACATTCTCTGTGCTTCTATATAAGAGTTGAAACATTGCCTTACTTTCATTTTGAATTCTAATTTGATCTTAAATAAATTATGATATTTCTGTAATATTTAAACCATTTAATTATTTTATATTAATTTATGATTTAACTTAAATAGCACTTTTAAATTTTATGAACAAAGTAGATATTAGGTTGATTTTTTATTCTAATTCATTTGTTAAATTATCAATTTAATTACATAATAAATTCTCAAAGTTTTCAATCTTATGAATTTCTTTAACATGAGATTTATGTTTCTCATTTTGTAAACATTTAAAACAAAAAATTCTTGATTCTTAACATGTCTCATTCATGCAAACAAATTCGGTATCTAAATCGTGATTTGGATTACTACACTTAAAAATCATTTAATTTATAACATAAATTATATTAATTCATTTAATTTGATATAAAAATTAGTTGGGTATTATTTATCCTAAATTCATAATTGATGTATCTAATTTTATTTTCTCGAATAATTGATTAATCTAAGATATCTTTCTAAATCATATTTTAATCATGACTTTATAGAAACAAAAAAACAAACATATTAATAAATATCAAATCAGAAAATAATTATTATTAAACAAATATTAATTAGTAAGCCTAGTTTTTAAATGCTAGATTTATTAATTATTTAACTTTCTTAACACTTTCAATCAATAAATATCAATTTAATATCACATTTTTAAGCTCCATTTAATTGTAAAAAATATTTATTTCTGTAAACAAAATAAATATATTATATGTTTTTTCATTTATATTATGGTTTCATAGAATTGGAGTAATTCTTAGTGAAACAAATTTATATGACCGAGATTCTTTTGCATCTACATTATTTAACAGTTTAAATCAAATTTTTTGACAATTAAGTATTTTTTATTTATTTATATCTGTAATATAAACATAATTTAATAGTGTATTGTTTTGTAATTAAATTAAGATTTATAGAAAGGGAGATGGTTTTAAGCAATTAATTGTAAATTTAGCAAATCAATGTTTTATAAATTCTGAAGTTTTTACAGAAGAAATTTTTTTAATTCATTTAATAATTATGAGCACTTTGTATTCTTATTACTTGCATAATGTATTTTATTCTTCTACTAATATATCGGCAATCAAGATTTATACATAATATAATGAATTATAAATTAAATATTATTGTAATGGGGGTTTCTATTAATTATTAATTTTCATTAATGAAGAACTTGATGAATTACTGAATGTAATAAGAATAGAAAGCCTTTATATATAGATGATTATGAAAAAACAATATAAATGAATTAGGATGATAAAATAAAGAGTAGAAATTAGATTATGATTAAAAATCATTTTTTATTATGTTGAATAATTTTATGAATAAGAACCTAAACTTTAATGTAAAAAAAAAAGATTCCAAGAACATTCTTAGAATTCTTTATTGTTCTAAATAATTATTGGCAAATGAAATTACATAAAATTTCTATGAGAAAATGGAGCAGAGGATAACAAAATATTAATCTATGCAATGCTAATTATAATATATATTAATTCATTCTTCTTTTTCTTTTTTTTCAGACGTGAAATCATTCAATAAATCACAAGGAGCTAGTACATCAAATATAACCCCTTCTACAATCACATTGTATTAATAAGTGGAACCTATTATAAAAAATTAATAAAACAATTTGGATCATAAGGTTTAGGTTTCTATTTTGTAGGGCATGCTTTTGTAAAATTTACAAATAATTGAGAGTGATCATGCTAATTATTGTTTGCTAAACTTGATTTTATATAAGAATTCTAATTGAGACTAGATGTATTTAATTTTAATTCCATTTTGATATATTAATTTAAATTTTATCCAATATGCAGAATTAATATATATCCTTTTATAAATTTTATATTTATAATTCCGTTAATTAAGTTATGTTTTGAGACTTAAATTTTGATTAGCTGACTACTTATAAATTAATTTAGTTATCATAATTCTTTTTTTATCGTATTATCCTAACAATTTTATATTTATATAAATATTTCCATTTCATAATATTTTGAAATAAATTTCATATACAATCTTTCTTTATGATCCCTCTCATACTTAAATTTATATATATTTTCTAAAAAAAATTCCAATATATTTAATTTTCAAGTCATTACTTTTTACAATTTATCTTCATACATAATTGAAATGATTATATATTTTCATATTTGAAATCATGGTAATTTCTAATCTTTAAATTCTATTCAATCATTTTATCATCAAAAGCCTTGTAACTTCAATCTATCACTTCTAATAATCTGTATGTATTGCTGTGTAAATTCATATCACTAAAGCTTTTGAATATTTAATTTATCCTAATCATCTTAAGTTCAAAATATTTCTTTTTGTTTTTAATTCTAATACTAATTTTAAGTATAAGTTTCATATGAATTAATGTTATCATTCTCCATGCCTTTCTTTCTAAAAATTCATATTCTAATTTTTATAGTTTGTTACATTAATTATTGTTCTAATTATTTAATACACCTTATATTATAAGTTTTAAATAATTCAACTCAAATTAATAATTTATAATTGAAATATACTCTCCTTAATGACTATTACACTTATTAACATAATATTCGAATTATTTGGTTATTAGAAAGCTTAAATCATAAATTGTACTTGAATTGATAATTAATTACATCATATGAGTAATTAAATTGATTTTTAAATACATTAATTTCATTATGTTCACAATCAATCAAAGTTTAGAAAAGGAAACTTATGAATTGTTGAATGATAACACAATTTATTAAAATTAATGGTGTGGAGCTATTGCTATCGATGAAAACTATAATCTTCTTTTTGTAGGTCATAAATTTGCTATCAAGGTTTTCGAATTAAAAAATGGAGCACTTAAATAGTTAAATCTACTCTTAAATCATTCAGATTATGTTACATCTTTGAATTTATTGTAAAAGAAATCATACATCTTATCTGGTTCTCATGATAAATAGATTGTTGTCATGTGTACTTAATTGATGTCAAATCCTAAATACATTAAAAAACTAAAAGGACATAAGGATACAATTAATTGTATACTCCCACATCCAATTAATGAAGAAATGTTTATATCTAGTAGTAAAGACTGTAAAATCAAATTTTGGACATTCTCATCAAAACATTCAAGGAACCATTGTTACCAGACAATAACCGAACACAAGAAATCTGTTATGAAATTATCCATAAATCAATAAGGAAATACATTAATCTCTCTTGGAATGGATAAATTAATATTAGTTCTAACATAATTAGAATTTTTCTGGGTTGTGAAATAGAAAATTTATTTAAATAAATTAGGTCCTAATATTTGTTTTATAACTAATGAAATGTTCATATTTTAACCTTATTAGTTTTTTTCAGAGAAACATAGATCTGAAAATATTTGGATTTATGCCTAAGACAAAAAGAATTAAAAGTATTACTCTTTCTAAAAGGATATATAAATAAGTGACAATACTTAAAATTGTATAGGATCATTTCCATTTTTTTATAATCATCAAAAAAGACTTCTAATATTTTAGAATGGCAATTCTCTTAAAATAATAAAATTTTAAAATCTTGATTAAGGAGTATTCAACATAGAGTAAATTATCATATTTAGTAATAAAATACAAAACAATCCTTTGAGTTTTATTAGTGGGGCAATAAGCAATGATTGGAAATATTTAGTAACTTGGGATAAAACTTCTTTTCT